TGAATCACAGGGTTTGCCGATCTGCGACATTGTAGATCTGTGGCAAGTGACCTCGGGGGTCAATGCCAGGCCATTTCGTAACGTGTCCAGGCGAACCACCTCTATGTTTGTCCCTCAAAAATCTTCCAGTTCTTTCTTTCTTCCTCGTAGCTAAGGCCTGAGCTGACGAAGAAAAAGCGCTCTCATCGCCTCCTGGACGAAAAACTTTTCTTAGTTGCCTCTCGCTCTTTCGGCGGCTTCTTTCCCGACGTTTCTAGAAGACCTCCATGTCCTCATCTTTCAACTTCTGCTTTCCTTGCTCCCGTAATACTACAGTGGAACTTCATTGCTGGCCCATGGAGCAATTTTTATGCTGTAGTTGATTCTCCTCTGACTATCTCAATCCCATGCTCTGTTGGGAACCGTAGTAGTTGATGCAACGTTGAGGAAACTGCCCCCATTGTATTGACAACCACGGCCTTCCCAAGATGATGTTGTATGGTGAGGGCGTGTCAATTACAGGAAATTATGTCTTGATCTTCTTAGTGCCGGCTTGTACTTCCAGGTCGTTGCGCCCAGTGGCATGTCGGCGTTCCATTAAAGCCGACCATCGGGGCCGCTGGATGTTCTAAGTCATCAGGGTGAAGGCCCAGCTCCTTGTAACATCTGACATAACATGATGTCACAAGAGCTGCCTGATCTTTAGGATGCGTTTCACTTTGCACACCAAGGCATCATTATGGGGATGTTGGACCAATTCCAGCGTGTGCTTCAGTAAAGGCTATCATCGGCCCTTGGCATTCTTCTGGCCCGATATCTCTTCTCCCCGACTTGGTACGACATGCTGAAATGTCTTACCCTCTGGGGTCCCTCCCCTCTGACTTCGTTTCGTTGACCCTTGAGTGGATCACAATTAACCACCCTCGGTGCCTCCTTGCTCTGTAGGTCTGTGCTGGGGGAGGTGGTGCTGCTGGTGCTGTGAGGCAACCTTGCCTGTCTTCCCTTGTCCTGGCTTCATCGACCAGGTCCCTCAGAAGGCCCTTGTCTCACCAGGTCCTCCAGTGTGCTTTTCAAGGCTCTGCAACCTTGAGTTGGGTGCCCTTCTTTCATTGTGGCTAGCGCAACGCTGTACCAACGTTCCTTCCCATGAAATTCCCTGGGCTCTTGCCGGAGCCCTGAAATAAAGTTGGTTTCGAATTTGATCTAGGACTTTATGGGATTGGGATTCGAATACCGTCTGTTCCGCCTGTTTACTTCTCAACTCTGTTTCCTTGTTTGGTCGGGCCCATTGTTGCCTCGGCCTCGCTTCGGCGAGCCGTTTCCTTTTCTTGCATTTACCTCTTTGTTTCCCGGTGTATTCTTCTTCGGTCTCTGGCGTATTTCTCAATCTTGCCATGAGTTCTTTCATGCTTTTTGCACATGTTTTTGCCAAAGACTTCCGTAGTGGGCAATCATCTTTCAGGCCGTCTTGAAAGACACGACCGCTACCTCTTGGTTGCATTCGGGTATTCGGTTTGAACACCTCGTAGTACCTCTTCGCATAGGCCCTAAGGCCTTCTCCTTGGTGATTCTTAGGGCCATCAAAGCATCAACCCTTAGGGGTTGCAGCTTGTTGGTTACGAACTGGCCACAACATCTCGGCCGAGGCCTTCCCATGTCTTTATGCTTCCCTTTGGTAATTTATGGAACCAATCAGATGCAATTTCCCCAAAGGATGAGGGGAATTACTTGCACAAGCAGCAACGGCTGATGGCTCGTTCCCGCTATATAACGCCATTGAATTCAGGTATAGTCCAACATGAAAGTTTGGATCTGACTTACCATCATAAATTTGAAACCTCGGCATACTGAATCTCTTTGGTGGTTCGAATTTGTCTAGTTCCACCAAGAAGGCTGTCTTCGGCTTTACTGGGGAGTTTACCTCGGCTTCAACATTCTGCTGCCTCCTTTTTAAGTAGTCCCTCAGGTCTTCTTTGCTCTTCCCTGGAGCTCGGCTGTCTATGGATTTTAGTCTTTTTGGTACACTACTTTCGGCCTCGTGGTGGGCCCGTTTGGATATTCCTCCATGGATTGTGTCAAAGCAGAGTGCTTGCCCCTGAACATGCCGATGTTTTTTGGGCTCTGGATTCTTCATGTGGTGCGTCCTTCGGGACTCCTCTTGCCTCGGCACTTCTCGTCCGATTTCCCTGGAAGGCCGGTGAGAATGTCTTCCGCTCCTAGTATGCTGAGGGATCTCGGGGATTGTTTTTCTTCCGCCCTTCTGGGTGTTGGTTGCTGGCATCGGCGTATCTTGCAGCGGATATGGTGGCTGCATAACATTATTCTACATCATGAAATTGACGACTGACTGAAGGTTTGCCAACTTGTTCGCCAATTCTTTTACTTCCTCATCCCTCCGTAGGCACCTGTCCCTCCATACCTGGAGGTTATCTTCATTGTAGTAGTTTCCTTGGTCTGTCTTTTTTGACGTGTCGCCCTCCTGGATGACGTCTTTCTCTCTGTGACCCTGGTCACGGGCTTCTGTATTGTGGTCGTCTCCTTCAATGTCAAGGTCAATTGGTCTGCCACTCCCGGCGGGAGCGTCATCCCCAATTTTTTCCTGCTGTCCGTTACTGGCCATCTATTCTTCCTTCGTTCCCACAGACGGCGCCAAATTGTGTGAGTGAAAATCTGACCACACTGCTCGTTTAGTGATCAACTGGAGAGCACAGGCAGAATAGATGGCTTCGGTAACCTGTAACAGAAAGAAAAAAGCTCCGGCGATGGTTCTTCCACCCGGGGGCACTCCGACGATCAAGTCAGTATATCTCTCAAAGATAATCAAGTGCTAAACGTAATACTCAAAACATAAATTGCATACCTTAGACCCACGGGGGTGCCTCTCTTTTATAATATACTCAATCCCAGTCTTACTAGAAGTATGACTTCTATGAACTCCAATTCAGTGTTTACTTTGGACTCCTTAAGAGATAAAGATAAACTCCCTAAGAGCTTTATCCTTATCTTGGTTAAGTCCCCTCTTCGTCTTAGGACTCTTGTCCCTTATTCGCTTATCTCGGATTCCGATATCTTCGGAGATAACATCGGCAACTCCAAGATCACCTCGGCCTAACTACCACGACACGTTGCACCTCGGCTGACACGTCGGCGTGACCATGCCACATGTTGGTATTCAGAAAATACATCCCCACAGTTTCTTATGGCCAATCACCGTGATTGACGACATTGTACATTCCTAAGCGGATCAAATCCTGGCATTAAGTTGGGCTTTCCTCCTTCTTGGGCTATTTGAGCCTAAGGCTTTTGGGTCGATTTTGTATTCCTCACAGTGTCTTTTTCGCCTAAAAAAATTTAGCACAAAAATTTCATAAATATGGAAGAAAATCAATAGGAAAAGCCTAATATATGTAATACCACAATTCTTGTGGTATAATTTAAATTTTTTTTCTTCCATTTAATCACCATGACAATGCTAAATTTATCCAAATTTTTAATACTGTCCTAAACACAAACATTGCACTAAAAGATAAACGTTGTTATTATTTTGTTGAGATATGTATTCAACACATAAATTAATTATGGAATCAAACAAAGAACATATAAATGGACATGATCTTATGACTCTATTTAGTTTAGAAAGAAAAAAAATGATAAAAAGTGATGGTGAAAAATATTTTCTTACAAATATTTGATTTGAATGAAAATATCTCAAGAAAAAAGATAGATAATTTTAACATTTCGATAATAGATAACCCCTTGCATGGATAACTTTAATTGTCTTGTGTGTGTGTTTTTTTAAAATGTTTTTCAAGAAATTTAAAATTAATTACAATGTTAATATGGGTTGCATAAATAATAATAATAATAATATTTTTCATTTCCTCCACTTTCATGCTAATAAACTCAAAAAAGTTATAATTTTTTTTTTCTCTTTCTTTCATTTTCTACCATTTTTATTCTAAATAAATTGAGCCTATGAGATTTATTGACTGAGTCTACTTTTGAAATATCTTATCCCACATAGCTTCGTTTTATATCCAATTCTGCGACTGTGTAATCCTAAGTAGTATAGACACGGTTACACGATATGTTATAGATATGCCGACATATTAATTTAAAAAAATATAAGACATGTTAATTTATATTTTTATAAATTTTTTATATGTGAAATATATGAATATTTTATTCAAAAATAATAAAAAAAATGAAAAACATAATACTAATGAAAATTAAATATCAAAATATCAATCATGTAACAATTACAATATAACGAATGCAGAATAATCGTAGAAAATATATATGCAGATGATGTATTATCTTAGAATAGTGATACTTTAACCCAAATATTAGATCCACTTTTCCAAAGAAAATGATAGGCAAGCCCACTTTCTAAATACTTTCTAGTTTTAATGATGTATAAGTGAGATGATTGATTGATAATTATAAAATACATGAGAGAGAGAATTGTCATAGATATTCTAATAAACTGCTGCATTATTGAGTCTAAATTAGACCTATTTTTCAAATCAATAATATAACATTGTCTTTAAATATCTAAAACAATTACCTCTCAAATCTTCTTTAATTATCAATCAATCATCTCTCTTATATATCATAGGATTTAAAAAATTAACTTGTATATCATTTTTCTTTAGGTTGTATTTAGTTCATAAATATGGCGAGAGAGTTGAAAAAGGAAAAGAAAAATATAAGTGAAATATAATTACATTTTAGTTACATTTTACACGCCTTTTTTCTTATTCTTTCTAAATATCTATCCAAATACATAAATTAAACACAGTCTTTAAAAAATCCAAAAAATATTTGTAAAAGTATGAGTGACGTTTTATTGGAGTATAATCTACGCGACAGGTCTTCTCCTCTATGGAAGTCCATGCTTCTTAGGAGTAGTCTATGCGCAGAAAAGTTATTGTCACGCGGCAATTAATAATCATGTTATCACTGGTTGGTGAAGTAAATGACCATTTCAAAGTCGGAGGTCATTGCCGCTTAACCTATTCGCGTGAGTCATTTTATTGTGAAAATTTTGTAGGCCTCATACCTCAAGTTCCATTCCACCGAGAGAGAGAGAGAAAGAGAGAGAGAGAGATGGATCCAATGCCAAAACAGACCATAGAGCACTTCACCCATCCAGGCCATCAGCTGGAACAAATCTATGCCAAGACAGAGTACACTTGTGATGGCTGCAAGACCCACGGACAGGGGTCGAGGTATCAGTGCAACAGCAAATCATGCTGCTATGTTTTGCATGACTACTGTGGCACATGCCCTCCAAGCCTCTCCTCTTTCATGCACCCACAGCACCCACTCACTCTGGTGGTCCGCAATCCACAACAATCCACCCGCCAGAATGACCGCTATTGCGATGTGTGTCGTGAACCAGTAGAAGGGCTCTTCTACAGGTGTAAGGATTGTGACTTCGATGTCCACCCTCTTTGCACCCAATTGCCTCGACAACTCCGCCATGCGCTCGACCACTCCCATCTCTTGACCTTCGAGGCACCCGTGTTGCCTAGTCCTTGTTCTGTTTGTGGCGCCGTGTGCTCTTCTTGGCGCTACAGGTGTGGGGTTTGTGGCTTGGATATTCATCTCGAGTGCCTCTTAAAACCATGTGTTCCGCCAACACAACAACGGTCAGTCCGACCATCGGGTCCAAATCCAAATCATCCTCCGCCATATCCACTGCGACCGCCACCGCCACTGCCTTATGGTCATCCTCCGCCATATCCACTGCCACCGCCATTGCCTTATGGTCATCCTCCGCCATATCCACTGCCTCCGCCACTGCCTTATGGTCATCCTCCGCAATATCCACTGCCACCGCCATCGCCTTATGGTCATCCTCCGCCATATCCACTGCCACCGCCTTATGGTCATCCTCTGCCATATCCACTGCCACCGCCTTATGGTCATCCTCCGCCATATCCAATGTCACCGCCTTATGGTCATCCTCAACCGTATCAACCGCCAAAGCTTTGTGGTTATGGTAATGGTTCTGGTTATGCTGATGGGGTTCCTTCTGGTTATGGTTATGGTAATGGTTCTGGGGTTCCTTCTGGTCATAGTGATAATTATAACATATACAACAATGGGAACCAGGCTCAAGGACATGGTGAAACATTTAAGAAGTTTGGTAAACGGATGTTTTTACTTGTAGCGCAGCTAACTCTTGGAGTGGTCTCTAATGGGATATTTGGACTGGCTTTCCCTTTTTGAAATATCTTTTCGATATGAATGGAATGTAAGTTGCAACATGTCATCAAATTACAAAATCAAATGTTTATAAATGAACATGTTGTTATTATATGTATGATAGTAATGTTGTGAATTTTTCAGGAACTATTTTGATGATATGGAATAAAGATCTGTCCTGTGACTTTTATGCATTGGCTAGCTTTCATGGCAAGCTTTCTGGCGCCGCAAAATTGCAGTCTTGGAGATCCCATGTGGTTCCCGTTTAACAGTTCCAATTATATATTTTGGGTTCTTGATTGTGGCGGATTTATTTATTTTTTTGGGTGCATATTCCAAAAAATTAAATTATTTATGAAAATAATCAATTTTAAAATTATTTATCAAATTAATTTACTTTTTAAAATTACAGGTTCAAAATACAATTTCATGGTGAAATAATTTCATGAACATGCGATTTTATGTTGACATAGCCCACGTCTATACATCAGTAAGTCACGTTAATGTAAAATCACATTTCAATATGAAGTCGTATTTTAAATTTGCATTTTTTAAAAGGTAAGTTAGTTTAATAAATAGTTTGAAAAGTGGGTTATTTGGATAAATAGTTGGGAAAATATAAAAAGTGTAATCTTAAAAAAATAATTACAAACTCATGAAAGTACAAGTGATTTATACACTAGATTGTGCAAACGAGTGTTGTACTTTCATGAATTTGTAATTATTTTTTCTACTTTCAAAATTTTTGATATTTTTCCTAAATAGTTTTTTTTTTTAGAATATTTTTTTTTAAAGAAAAACTCCTTGTTTGTGTTTTGTAATTTTTTTTAATTATTTGTGTATTTAAAATGTAGTTTGCCTAATAAAAGTATATTAGTGCATACTCCAATAACATTTTGTACTTCTGAAATTGGTTTGATTAATCTCCAATAAAGTTCTCTAAATATAGTTAGTTAAAAGAGAATGAGTCAAAATACTTACAATGTTCTATCTTATTGGAGCTCCATTATGTGAAGATAGTAGACAAAATGTTTAAAATGTTATTTGAGCATCTCCAATACAAATACGGGAAACAACAATGATTCATCCCACTAAAAATACCATCACTAATAGCACCAATGCATTAAAAAAGTTAAAAAAAAAAAAAAAAAAAAAACTCCAAGACCAAAACATCACATCATTAATGGCGGGACCCACTGTCACCTAATTAGTGGGAGCACTAATTAGTGCTCCCAAGCATTTTTCATACGGGAAATTATAAAGTACACAATACTATTAGACTTCAAAGTACACAATAAAGTGTACCTTGTATTTTTCTTATCCACATTTTTATTTTTCTACACAATATTGCTATAACTATTTTAGTTATTCATCCAAACATTATTTTATCTATGAAATGAAACACATCAACAATAAAAATGGAGGAAAATAATTATAAGAGTTCAATACATTTCACCTAATATTTAAAGACTAGTTACATTTAGATAATAAGGCCTAGTTTGGGAAGATTGAAAAAAGATAAAAAGTCAAAAAGTCACTATCCTATTTAAATCACATCATCTTGTTTAAGTCACATCACCTCTCTAATACATCACTTCAAACCCAACCCAAACTCAACCTATATTTTATAAAAAGTCAAAAAGTGCATTTATTTAGTCTTCCCAAACTAGGCCTAAATTTAGATTGAGGCAAATTGACTGTATCTATATGCCTACTATCTTAAAGTTTAAAAATGTCAGTCATATTACCCTTTGGCAAAATATATACCTAATGTATTGAGATGTTTTAAATGCCCTCTTACGTTAGAGATACTCTGAAGAATTCATTTGTTGTCTTATTTTTTAATTTTAGTTAGTTGGGGTTTCAATTACCATTCACTCTAAATGTGAATTATCAAATAAAAATTTTAACTTACAAGTTAAACAAGCTTCAAATAACTTTTGCCGATCCCCTTTATTGGCCCCGTTTGGTAGAGCTGTGTAAAAGTGATTATAATTTATAGCCTAACAGCTTATAGCTTATATGTGTGAACATAAGCTGATTTTTTACTTATAAATTAAGCTTCTCCTCCCCCACTCAAAGAATAAATTGATTTTTGACTTACAAAAAGCTATAAGCTGTATTGTTAAGTTGAACCAAGCACATCAAAATAGCTTAAATTAAACTAAAAACTGAAATAAACTGAAAATAAACCCTACCAAACAGGGCCATTGTGGGAAGAACTCACGTGATGGACAGTTATCCAATGCAACGCAGTTACGCTACAAACATTCTTCTCATTGATTTTGGTAGAACCGTCACTACAAAAATTTTAAGTTTTTGTGATGGCAAAATACCGTTGCTAATACTCATAATGTCGTCTCAAAAAAGTTTTAGCGACGGCATTACCGTTGCCTTTTTTTTGAGGCGACATTCGTTGCCTTTTGCGACGATATTTTACTGCCGCCTATAATATGTAAAAAATTGAAACCTTTAACGACGGCACTATCTTACCGTCACTTAAAGTTTTATTTGAGACCACAAGAAATGTTGTCACGAATTGTGTTTTTTTTGCAACGACACGACCACCGTCACCAATGGTTCTAATATATTTGCGACGGTGTGGTGTCGTCTCAAAAAAAAAAAAAAACCTACAATAAAATTAATAAAAATATTAAAATTACCAATTTTTTGCGACGGTGTGGTATCGTCGCCCAAAAAAAAAAAAAACCTGCAATAAAATTAATGAAAATATTAAAAATATCGATTTTTTAAGACGGTGTGGTGCCATCGCCAAAAAAAAAAATGCAATATAATTATTAAAAATATTAAAATTACCTGTATTAAATGAAAAATAAATGAAAAAGAAACCAATAATTGGATAATAATATAAAAATTCCTATATAGAAATAACAATTTCTCCATAATAAAAATATTATTCCATCCATAACTACACATCAACAAAATTACCACACTAATAATGTTCTATAATGCATATATAATGTTTAAATACATAATATTGTTCATAATTCAAAATAACATAAACCAAAATTAAAAGTTTTCCTCGTTATTCTCCGTAGGTAACAAAAGCAAGAGTTAGTCGCATTTTTCACAGGCACGCATTCCACAAGAAGCAAACTCCTACTCGGGAAATATCTGAAAATAAAAAATAAAAATAATTGATGACAATATAATTATGTGTTAATATGTTAATTACAAAAAAAATATAAAAATTTAACTACTATACAATTACAAAGATAATTAAGTAAATAATTTTGCCTAGAGTGAAATCAGGCTCTAACTCCCAAACCGAACGCGATTCGAGTCTCGTTTTCTTCCACAACTCTCTCGTGTCTAGGCGGTCTTGTGTGTCAAGTTTCGTGCTAATTTGATGTCGTTTGGTGATTTTGGGGGACCAACACCTTGAATTCTAAGTTTCTTAAGAAACTAGTTTATCTAGAGTGAAATCCAGTTCTAACTCCCAAACTTGGAATTTGATTCGAGTCCCATCTTCTCCCACAAGTCTGTCGTGCCTAGGCGGTCGTGTGTGCCAAGTTTCGTTTGGGACATTAACACCTCGAATTCTAAGTTTCTTAAGAAACTAGTTTGTCTAGAGTGAAATCTAGCTTTAACTTCCAAACCGGAAACTCGATTTGAGTCCCACCTTCTCTCACAACTCTCTCGTGCCTAGGCGGTTGTGTGTGCCAAGTTTCGTGCTACTCCAATACCGTTTGGTAATTTTGGGGCGTCAACACCTCGAATTCTAAATTTCTTAAGGAACTAGTTTGTCTAAAGTAAAATCTGGCTCCAACTCTCAAACTTGGAATTTGATTTGACTCCCGTCTTCTCTCACAAGTCTCTCGTACCTAGGCGGTCGTGTGTGCCAAATTTCATGCTACTCCGACGTCGTTTGGTGATTTTGGAGCATTAACATCTTGAATTCTAAGTTTCTTAAGAAACTAGTTTGTCTAGAGTGAAATCCAGCTCTAACTCCCAAACCAGGAACCCAATTCGAGTCTCGTCTTCTCCCACAAGTCTCTCGTGCCTAGGCGGTCGTGTGTGCCAAGTTTTGTGCTGCTCCAACGCCGTTTGGTAATTTTGGAGCGTTAACACCTCGAATTCCAAGTTTCTTAAGGAATTAGTTTATCTAGAGTAAAATCCAGCTCTAACTTCCAAACCGGGAATCCAATTTGAGTCTCGTCTTCTCCCACAAGTCTCTCATGCCTAGGCGGTCATGTGTGCCAAGTTTCGTGCTATTCCGACGCTGTTTGGTGATTTTGGAGCGTTAACACTTCAAATTCTAAGTTTTTTAAGAAACTAGTTTGTTTAGAGTGAAATCTAACTCTAACTCCCAAACCGAAAACCCGATTCGAGTCCCGTCTTCTCCCACAAGTCTCTCGTACCTAGGCGGCCGTGTGTGCCAATTTCGTGCTAATCGGACTCTGTTTGGTGATTTTGGGGCGTCAACACCTCGAATTCTAAGTTTCTTAAGGATTTAGTTTGCCTAGACCGAAATCCGGCTCTAACTCCCAAACTGGAAACCCGATTCGAATCCCGTTTTCTCCCATCAAGTTCAAGACCCTATTTCAAAGAACGTTGCATGAAAACAGATCGGCAACATTAAACAATACACAACACGTGAATTTTGATATGAAAAAAAGGCATACATAGTTATTTTCAAACAGAGACAAAAAGTGCATAACCATAATGCAATTGAGACAGACTCACATATTTTGCCACAGCTTCCTCAGTTCATGCCTCTCCTGTACTCTGTATGCCAATAACCACACACTTGTTCTCCATCAATGCTTGTTTAGCAAGTCTTACAATGGCAGACACCTTAGCTGACATACACATGTGTTTAAAGAAATGCTACAATAGCACACAGAAAAACACATTAAAAAATAACTAAATAAGAGAATTCAGAAATTAAAGGTAATGATGATATCTCAATATGCCAACTGAAATTAAAAAACATTTAGGATTGCCACCAGTCCTTGCTACAATTAATGAAAGCAATGATGATCTCTCAGTTTGCCAACTGAAAACTTAAAGGTACATAGGAAATTTCTTTGACTTCACTTGCACAATAACTGGAAGACTAGGCATTAGCATTTTCCATATAACTTTAAAGGACATGCTCAGTTTAGTCCCCATTAATGGAGGTGCACAACGGATGGACAGCGTACAGACCCAAATTTTGGCTTTATTTATACAAAATCCATCATATTCAAACTCAAAACCTCGCGGTTGTTGGGGCCAAATTTTAACCACAAAAACAGTAGCCCTCTAATATTTTTGTTATACTTAAAAGGTGTTAAACAGTAAGGAATCTACTCAAAGAGTTAATAAGCATAGATATCACATGGTGATTCACATTAAGAAACAAAAACACATAGTTGACAAAAGTAGAATTGACAGAAAGGGAAACATTTTACTTAATACTCAATTTCTTACTCTTGATTAACAAAAGAAGAAAATTAAAATATACCATCATTTTGGCCTCTAATGGTACTTCAACAGTTTCAAACTCTGCCCTTCGTAGCTCAGCGTACGGCATACATACATCCCTCTGAAAGGAAAAACAGCTGTGCTTAAATTGACATAGTAACTTATAACACATTGCTCCAAAATGAAAATGCTATATTATAACCTTGCTTTCATGCCCAAAATGAAAATGCTATATTATAACATGCATTGGTTACTCTTATGGTTCTAATGTTTGTTCAAATATCAAAAGGATTGTCACAAACTATTTATCTTGACATAACAAGTATATCAATGTGTAAACACAGTATTCATAAATTTCCCCTTCACTTATTGAATTGCACAAGCTCTATACCAACTACAAAGCATTAGGAGTCCTTGAGTACAACTTTGGGAGAAATAAAATTAATGTTCTCGAGCTTAAATGATGATATAACAAATTGAAGTAATGGACCAATGGTAGGTGGCACAAATCCATTATTGTAATCAAGATTTTGCATACATGAATGCTACTGATTGTACAGTTTGAGATCCAATCATGTTTCATTAAAATTACATCCACAAATAGTTTGTCACGAAATAACATATAAACTACTCCCATTACACTAGAAATATGCAGAAGCAATAAATATTGAGAAAAGCATTCAAAGCTAGATAGATAGTTCCAGGTAACTTTAATCAAACCTAAAAAATGACGAAATTCAAGGAAACACGTTCCAGCTCCCCAAAGACCAAGACGGACCATATAACCCATATTGCATGGCTCCGATGCACCAGTTGCTGAGCAATAAATAACACGAGCTTCAGGAAGCTGAGCCTGTTTTTAGAAATTGTAAACAACTGTTAGAACCCTTCCAATTTACCAATGACAAGCAATTTTGCATGGTAATGGCCTACCCATTTAGAGTTTCAGAAAAATTTCTTAACTACTAAGTAACAAACATAACCCCACCCCACATTTGCCATACTTGGTGTCTCATCATTTATCATTAACACAGTGCCGAACAAATGAAAAGGAATACACCACATAAAACCTTTGCCAGACCTCTTGTACTTATAGATGTTGAGAATAATTATGCTAGAAGGTAGAGGAAGACCAAATTTAACATGGATAGAAATAGTAATAAAAAATAGATTAAGTATCACCTAAAAGAGCAGAATGACTACATAATGCACGCGCAAGTGATGGTAAATAGTTGGGACAAGACTTTGTTGAGTCAAGTAATGACATAAAAGGACTAATAGACTTGGTATTTAGGGGTCACAAGCAAATGAAAAAAGAAGTGTTTTCTAACCCCAAAACTACAGTTTATACATCATATAACCGACTCTGAATAACAGGAACTCAACCTGCAGAATCCGGTAGCCTTGCCAATCCATTAAATATTAACTGGTTTGCATTTGCATTTCTCGATGGTCAATTGAACAAAAACAGAACAAACCAAACTTGAGCCAGCCCATTGAAAAATCATCTCTAAACCTCTCGACAGGGGCTCTCATGTCGACCTTGATTGACTTTTTATGTACTTAATAACTAGTTTGGTATATCCAAAACAGAATCAGATTGACTTTGGGGATGCAGCCACAAAAAGAATAACTTTCAAGCACATGTTCTCAACCTGATTGTCAACACTTAAGGGCCAAGTTATGCATTTTTCAGCCCATGCAAGATTTGCACAGATCCAACTAAACCTCTAGCACACATAAACATACTTCTTTTAGCCCCCATTAATTGAAGGTTAAAGGCAAGGTTATTGGGAAAACACAACATTCAGCATTATTCACACAGGGATTGCCCACATAGTAGAACTCGTTTGTTGGGCTGAATGTTTACCACTGAACCAGTAGCCGCTTATTACCTCCTACCCAATCCTTGATTAGGGATTGTAATAGTTGATATCAAATCAAGTTTTTTACTCAAATTTAGAATTAAATTAGATGAAAAATTAGTTAAGGATTGGAGATGCTCTAAGCTTTTTGGATTTGATATTTTTAATTTACTCCTCAAATTTATACTCAGAAAGAAATATGTAAATTTAAATTTAAGAAAAAAAAAAAAGGGTCCGAATCATCAATCAAAAACCCAGGGCCTAACCCAGGCTAATTTCAAATCCATCCATGGTGGCTAATTTGAAGAGCTAACCTAGTTCACGCTGCCGTCGTGTGCTGCTGCTCGCTGCTCGCCGTCGCTCGACGCCGTCGTCTGCCGCTGCTCGATGCCGTTTCACGCTGTCGGTGCCGTAGCTCGATGCCGTCATCTGCCGCTGCTCGCCTTAGCTCGACGCTGTCTTCTGCCCTGCTCACAGTCGCAAGAGAGAGAGAGAGAGATGGAGATTTTTGGTTCAAAAGATTGGGATTTGAGATTTGGGGATTTTGGTTGAGGAGGAAAACGAGCGGGAATCAGATTTTGGGTTTTTTTTTTTTTTTTTTTTTTGCGACGTCAAATATAATTGTTGTAAATGAAAATTTAAACAATGAAACGATGGTGTGTAACTAGTTTTTTTTTTATTTGCGACGGGGGTATAGCTGTCGCCAACAACCTCTATTTGCGACGAGAGAAGGTTGTTGTCGCAAAAAAAAAGAAAAAAAAAACTCCTATTTTGTTGCGCAACGAAAGCTAGGAAGAGAAAGAAACTGAAAAAGAGAGAGAAACAATAGATGACCAGAGAGAGAAAGAGAGAGAAAAAAAAAAAGAGATCGGCGAGAGAGATATAGAGACACATAAAAAGAGAGAGAAGAGAGATGAGCAAGAGAGGTAGAAAGACAGGGAGAGACATGAGAGAGATAGAGAAGAGAGATGTATTAGACTTATTTAATTTGATGATTTATTTAATTATGCTTTAATTTATTCGAAAAAGAAAAATAGAATTCAAAATTTATTTTGATGATATATTTAATTTTAATTTATTTGAAAAAGAAAAATAAAATCCAAAATTTCTTTTGATGATTTATTTAATTATATTTTAATAAAATCTAAAATTTATTTTGATGATTTATTTAAATTATGTTTTAATTTATTTGAAAGAGAAAAATAGAATCAAAATTTATTTTGTCCCATTATTTCTTACCTAAACTTTTATACTAAATATTGTTTGAATGTATTTAATATTTGCTTAAATCAGGAGTTCATTTCAACACAAAAATAATGCCCAAATCAGAGGTTCAAACAGCTCAAAATAAATGTTCAAACAGCCCAGCCCAGCACAGCAGTAGGCCAAAAGGTTCAAGTGAAAGATATTCAAATTAGTAATGATGGAGTGAAAAATACTCAAATTAGTAATGATGGAATACAACGACTATAAAAGGCTATAAGTTTCATTATATATACCAAAACCTCTAATGTAAACAAGTTACAAAAAAATCAAAAAATATTCTTTGATCTATAATCACTCACATCTATTCTCTGAAAAATTCTCTGAGAAGTGTTATTCAATTTTTGTTTACATCCTCTTTTACAAATTATACACTGAGACGTATAGCTTTAAGTCCATCTTTTTTGTGTGAGGTTTACAGAAAAATCAGAGTTTCATTTTTATATCTATCTTTAAAAGATAATTCTTGTAGTTTTGTGAAAGCAAAAACACATTCTTTTCAACCTTGTATGAGTATAGTACACTCAGTATTCTTGACTTAGAAAGTCTGTGTAAACTCTGTGGATGATTGCTCCATCTATGAAAATGTTGCTAGCACTCTGTGAAGCTAGAGTATAGTGGAAAATCTCAAATGAAGCTTGAGGAGTAGACGTAGGCCGAGTTGAAACCGAACTACTTTAAATTTGTTTGTCTCTCTCTCCCTTATCTCTTTGTTTTATTTAAATTGCCATAACTATATTTCACATTTTCACTGTGCTAAAATCATTAATTAACATAGTTGTTAAAACACTTGTTTTAATTATTTTTATTTCAGTAACTATATTTATCTATTGTGCTAGTCATAATTTTTATTAGGGTATTATTATTTTTATTTGTAAAAACCTAATTCACCCCCCTCTTAGGCTGTCTTTTGGGTAACAATTGGTATTAGAGCCTAGACCCTTGTTTTAGATTTAACTATCTAAGAGTTTCGATCCATGGCAACCTTAGCTGAAGGATAAGCCATAAATAGGCCACCATTGTTTGACGCAAACAACTATAGTCATTGAAAGGATAAGATGACCATATACCTACAAGCCACTAATTATGCCATGTGGATTATTGTCATCAAATGTCCAAAAATTCCTACCAAATTAGTAGACAATATTAGTGTACCTAAAATTGAAGATGAATGTGATGAAAGGGATCATAAATTATTACAAGCCAATGCTAAAGCCAAACTCACCCTTGTTTGTGGATTAGACTCTAAGGAGTATAATAGTATTTCAAGTTGTGATTCGGCAAAAGAAATTTGGGACAAACTTAAGGTAACTTATGAAGGTACAAACCAAAGGAAGGAATCTCGTATTGATATGTTTGTTCATAGTTATGAATTGTTTAAAATGAACTCTGATGAATCTATTTTAAGTATGTTTACTAGATTTACTGAAATTGTAAACTCTTTGAAATCTCTTGGCAAAACTTATACTAACAGTGAGTTGGTGAGAAAAATTCTTAGATGTTTACCAAAGAATTGGGAAGCAAAGGTCACAACCATTATAGAAGCAAAAAATCTCTCCACACTTGGATTGGATGAACTTATAGGTTCCCTTATGACTCATGAGATCACCATGAAAGGACATGAGGATGTTGAAAATAAAAAGAAAAGTGAAATTACATTCAAAACCTCATCAAATGAAGAAGAATATAAAACTCCAGTGAGGATGAAAGCTATGCCATGTTTAGTAAAAATCTCAAAAACACTTCAAGAAAAACAATTATGGAGGAATAAGATCTTTCAAGAAAGAGTACAATAAAGATAACAAGAAAGAGCCTATTATTTGCTATGAGTGCAAAATCCTGGACATATGAAGATGGATTGTCCAAAATTAAAGAATCATGGAAAAGACTACAAAAGAAACAAAAGGGCCATGGTAGCAGTTTGGGAAGAAAGTGAAGATGAAAGCTCAAGTGCTGAAATTAAAAATGAAATAGCCAACTTATGTCTCACGGCTCTTGAAGATGAAAACTCTACTCAATATGAGGTTTGCTTTAAGTCCAAAGCTAAAGAATGGAAGTGGTACCTTGATAGTGGATGTTCTAGACACGTAACCGGAGATAAATCCTTCTTTACTATACTATCATCCAAAGATGAAGGCTTTGTTACTTTTGGAGACAACAAGAAAGGAAAAATCATCAGTATTGGTAGCATCGGTATTTCTTCTAACCCTTCTATTGAAAATGTTTTACTTGTTGATGAACTTAATCATAATCTACTTAGTATTAGTCAATTATGTGATGAAGTTAATCGAGTTATTTTTGATAAATCACATTGCACAATTGAAAACACAAATGATTATAAAGCTTTATTCGTTGGTAATCGTCACAATAATGTTTATGTTTTTCATCTCAATGATCTCTATGCTAGTGATGTTAAATGTCTATATGTTAATAATGAAAATAGTTGGTTATGGCATAGAAGACTTGGTCATGCTCATATGGATTTAATTGCCAAACTTTTAAGAAATGATTTGGTCATTGGACTTCCAAAAATTAAATTTGAAAAAGACCATCTTTGTAGTGCTTGTCAACAAGGAAAACAAACTAAAATATCGTTTAAATCAAAATCTTACATTTCCACAACTAGACCTTTACAACTACTGCATATGGATTTATTTAGTCTATCAAGGACATCTAGTCTACGTGGTAAACATTATTGTCTTGTTATTGTTGATGATTAGTCAGGATTTACATGGGTTATGTTTTTAGCACATAAAGATGAAACATTTTCTTCTTTCACAAAACTCTGTCGTAGAATTGAAAATGAAAAAGACTTTCTTATTACTAATATTCAAACCGACCATGGTAGAGAACTTGAAAATGAGAAATTTGAATTGTTTTGTGATGAGCATGGTATTGGACATCATTTTTCAGCACCTAGAACCTCTCAACAAAATGGTGTAGTAGAAAGAAAGAATAGAACTTTAAAAGAGATGAGTAGAACAATGTTTTGCGAAAATAATCTTCCTAAATATTTTTGGGCCGAAGCCGTTCACACTACATGCTATATTTTAAATCATGCATTAATTAGACATATTCTCAAAAAGACTTCTTATGAATTTTGACATGATAGAAAGCCCAACATTAGTCACTTGCATATTTTTAGTTGTAAATGTTTTGTGCATAATAATGGTAAGGATAACTTAGGTAAATTTGATTCAAAATCTGATGAAGCAATTTTTCTTGGCTATTCCTTAACTAGCAAAACTTATCGTGTTTTTAATAAAAGAACTCTTGTTGTTGAAGAATCTATACATGTGGTATTTAATGAAACTAACATCTTTGCTCAAAAGCAAATTGTTAGTGATAATATAGATTTGGAACAAAATGTGGAAGATTCAAGTATCTACAGAGAAGAGAACCAACCATGTAAGCTAAACAAAGAGCTTGAACAGCCTGTTCTTCCACCTCAAAAAGAATGAGAAAACAATGATGATTTTCCAAGAGAATGGAAGTTTGTTCATAATCACCCTAAGGATTTAATCCTAGGTGACCCTACAAAAGGTATTGAAACTCGTTCTTCACTTAGAAACATTTGTAGTAACTTGGCCTTTCTCTCACAGATTAAGCCTAAAAACTTTCAAGAAGCCAAATTCGATGAACATTGAATGATAATTATGCACGAAGAGCTTAGCCAATTTGAGAGAAATAAAGTGTAGGAATTGTGCCAAAACCTAAAGATCATACCATTATCGGTACCAAATGGATCTTTCGAAACAAGCCTAATGAATCCGGCACAATTATAAGAAACAAGGCTAGACTTGTTGCACAAGGATACAATCAAAAAGAAAGTATTGATTTTGATGAAACCTTTGTTTCAGTTGCTAGATTAGAAGCCATTCGCATGTTACTTGCATTTGCATATATTAGAGATTTCAAACTTTATCAAATGGATGTAAAAAGTGTCTTTCTCAATGGTTTTATAAATAAGGAAGTTTATGTTAAACAACTCTTAGGTTTTGAAGATCATGCTTTTCCAAATCATGCTTTTAAATTATCAAAAGCTTTATATGGTTTGAAACATGCACCTCGTGCATGGTATGAATGATTAGGTAAATTTTTGATTGAAAATAATTTTTCTAGAGGAACAATTGACACAACACTTTTTGTTAAAACTAAAAATGATGATTTACTTATTGTGCAAATATATGTGGATGACATTATATTTGGTGCTACTAAAGAAACCTTGTGTAAGGAATTTGCTAAGTGTATGCAAGGTGAGTTTGAGATAAGCATGATGTGGGAGCTAAATTGTTTCCATGGGCTTCAAATCAAACAATATAAGGAATGAATTTTTATCAACCAAGCTAAGTACACAAAA